AGATGGAGAAAAAGAGCACGTAATCTGCCTAGAAATATATAATCACATCATTTTAGGAAGATTATTCTCTTTAATGAGGGAATTATGCAGATCAGGTTTTCGAAAAAATCTTTTTGGTTAATTAAGAACAATAACAGATTATTTTCTGAGCAAAAACGATAAATGTTGATTCTGATTCTCTTTTTAACATCCATGTTTTTCTTCATCAGACCTACATTTTCTATGTGTTCTTGTGTCCATGTAGCATTTACAGTTTTCTAACAGGTCGCCAATAACATGGTGTAATGAATATTTATAGATTAAGACGTTCACTTAGACGCAGAGCAGCTGAACTCCTAACCAATGTGAAACCGAAGAGGAGTTTGGTCACCCCAGTGAACTTCTCCGGTGTGTTGACATTTTCCATTTCCTTTATCAATCCATTACACAACCAACATATATGAAACCTTCACTGCACTAAATTAATTTCCTTTTATTTCCTAGCAGACACATTGCTAGAGATACATGATTAAAGTTTTCGGGACACAATATTAGATTTTTGTACAGCTCTAACCTGCAGATTCCTATTTTTCAATTTTGACCATAACAGAATACTTTTAGACCATTTTCTTGTTAAATTCTGACTTTAGAAGTAAAAACATTCACATGGGAGAGCTGTTATTGCTAATGCTCAGTGATGAAATATGAAAAAAAAATTAGGATTTTTTTTATTGCATCTTGGCAGCGATGCATTCAAGGCCTGATTCTGGGTCTAAGATGATTAAAATAATTATGTAAGAGACTGCCCACCTTGAACACCACATAACCTTTTGGGAGAATCAAACAGCTGTAAGTTGGGTTTCTTGTGGTGAATTAATGCAAACCTTTTTTGGACATGTTTCCTTCTCTGAGTCAGGTCATGAACACACCTAGCTGGGTTTTTGTACAACCTAACATCCTTCCCCCGCTTATCTAGGAAAAAAATTTGGGTCCACACAACCTCGTTTTCAGCTAAATAATCGTCTTTGCTAAAATAAAATACCTTCCTTGGACGTGGAATAGCTCCTTAACATCGCCTTTTGCCTCTGGTCATCTGCATAGAGCTTGTAAAATCAAACACGGGTCGCACATGTGAGCATTTTCATTGCGGGCAGTGATGTAGCAAAACCTAAAACCCCACTTGTGTACGTCTACACGTTAATGCTGACAATGGAGAATTTGTAAATCTCTACCTTGTACAGCGTTTTGGTACCATTTTTGTTTTTGCTTTGTGTGAATAACAGGCTAAGCTGTAGAAAAACCCAGCTACATTTGTACTGGGCCTCAGACAGGTGGACAGGTATTCAGAATTATTATTTATTTATTTTTGCTATTAAGCACAGCTCTTGAAGACTTCATTGCATTTGAGCCCCTCCATTTGACCTTCAGTAAGTCCAACCAACATATTTCCTGTTCAGAACGCACGCTGTCCACTGAGGTGGACATGCAATCAATTATTTGTAAATTATTAAATGTTACAAAAAGGGTTGGATTTGTTGAAATTGGTTTCAGTCACACCTAAATATGAATGAAAACATTTGTTACAAAATTAATGGTTGAAGATTTCATAATTCATGCATCAAAGGGTTAATAGTAGGGCTGCACGATATTAGGAAAACCTGCGATATTCGATAACAGTGATTAATATTGCGATGACGATATTACTTGCGATAATAAAAACTTAACTCAGGAACTAAAAACAAAGAAATAAAAATAAGTTATAAAAATGAGATAAGCAAAACATTTGAAAAAGAAAGGGGAAAAGAAAATAAACAAGAAAAAGCAATCAGTGGATCCCGGGAAAAGCAGAATCAGCAGAAAGAGGAGAACTAAGCTAACTCAGGTGTTTGCTAACCATCAAAATTAAGGGCCGTCCGCCTTGGGGGCGGGACTCTAACCTATGAGAACCCACCCAATTGGCCAAATGGGTGAAGAGCTCTATTTGATTTGTTAAAAAAAATGTAATTCTTTTATTTGATTGACAGAATGCATAATGTGTAGCAAACATTTGAGCTGACCATTCATTACGATATTTATCTGTTCTTTGCGATATGCATATTGTGCATGCTGATATCGCGATAACGATGTATTTACGATATATTGTGCAGCCCTAGTTAATAGCAGAACTTCTGCCCAAACACGCTTTGACCTCCTTATCTCTGAAATCAACCTGACAAACGACTCTCTCATTTCAAGGGTTGCAGCCGCTTAAGGACAACAGGCTTGCTCAGATTAAACACTCAGACACCATCACTCCTCTTTTAATCCATCATCACCCCCAACAGCTTCCACCAGGTGCAACACCCACACAATTACTGCCATCTCCAGTTTGACATAATTATGTCCAAATCGAGCCATGAAAATATTTACTTCATCATTTAAAGGGAACCAAAGTGCACAATTCAGACATACACACACACACACACATCCTGTCTAATGTTCGATGTTTGGTATCAAATTTGTCACATCACCATGTGTTGACAAACACTTTACTACCTCGTCAGATGGGGTCGACTTTTTTCCACTGAAATTTCAAGGATAGAGGGTACAACAGGTGTTGCAAGGCTTTCCTTTCATATTCATTACACTGCAGAATGATGCACTGGCTATATTTATGGGCTGATATCAGCTCCTTAAGCTGGATTTTACATGCCGAGAAGTGCCACGGAGTACCGTGACTTACTCCCCTGGGGAGGACCAGGGGCTTATAGCTTTTTTCTTTGTGGGTCAGACCAAAGCTGTTTTCAGCTGAATAAACTAAAATATGTGCAGGTGGATGAGAGAACATAAAATTTAAATGAAAAATAAAAACAAAGTGTGACAACTTATTGCAGTTTGTGTGATAAAATGCTCAGTGTGGCAAGACAAAGGGAAAAGAGCAAGGGGACAGACAGGAGGGGTAGAAAAGAAGTCGACGCCAAGCAAGTTAAAAGATTATTTTTAGGATGATGTTTATTTGGAGGTCTGTGAAACCAACCCGGGGTGAATATACCAGCCTCTCTCTGCTACCATCTGTTGAGGTTTCTCAGCCTGTCACTTTGGGAGGGGGGGTGGCATTTTAAACAGACAGAAAAGTTCTGCACGTTCACCCCAGCTTGTGTTTCTAAGGTATAAGAAACAAACAGATAAGATGTGAATAATTGTCATTGAGAATAAAAATGTGACTGAAGTATCTGCTGCTTGTCAATGTACATGTTATAGAAAAAAATAAAATAATCTGGAAACATATAAAATATTTTTAAAATATGCACCTACAACATATGTTGTAGGTGCATATTATTGTAGCATTGCAGGTATATACCTACACTGCTTTTACAACATCATTGTAAATGATGGAAAAACGTGAAATATTATCTAGTTATCTTTGAGGAATTTTTAAACCAGATTTAGGAGGATTAAACTCAAAAAAACAAACATTCGCTCACACAATTTCATCTTGCAACAACTGACGTAAAGTGTGTGTGTGTATTTATGTATGTGTGTGTGTGTGTGTATATATATATATATATATATATATATATTCTCTAGTGTTGAAAAAAAATATTAACCCCAAAGGATTAAGATAATGACAAAGGGTGATTTAGTTTGCACATTCACTTTAATCTTTTTTTTCTGAATAAATTATTTAACATAATAAAATATGGCATACTAAATAAAACAAAAATATGGAAGAAAGCAAAAGAGTTGAAGATCAAACTAGATTTTTAAGGATTCTAATTTTTGGTTTCTGCTAAATACTGAGTGATAAATGTAATAATAAAACATTCAAACTGGAATAATAAAATCTTCCATCAACTTTAATAGCAGTAACAACTCCTGCTGAAACTTCTTACATGGGTAAAATACACACGTTCCTCAAATAATACAAGCGTTATTTGTTTTTTCTAACCATAATTCATAAACAACTTAATTACTAATCATGGGCTTTAACAAAATAATACCAAAGTTAGTACCTACACCCTAAAAATGTCTAATTATCAAATAAGTCAGTTGCAGATAAATAGCCATACAAACATGATTTTCTTGTGCCATGGGCAGCTATTACTGGGCAGCTATTTTCAGACTGGACTCCAGGAATTTTGTGGAGGAGGTAGGTCGCATCTCATCCAATATGGCAACCAGGTAGCTACTAGCTAACGGAAAACAAGCTAAACAACCCAAAAGTATGAGATAAAACACACTAATATCCACTTTGTGTTGCAAGGAAATGTTTGATAGACAACATATTAGTTTTTTTTTAAGTTTCTTTTTTTAACCATTTCCAGTCACCTGTGTGGCTTGAATTGGTGGCTCATTAAAAACACCTGCCAGACTAGTTGCCGGGCCAGCGAGATGCCATTTCAACAGTGGCCTGCTCTTAAGCTAGCTCAGTAAGGCTAATAATGCCAGAAAAATGTTTGTATCATCATGAAGTAATGTCACTTTTTTTAATTGATCGAAAAATTCATATTTTACTTTTTGCACCTCCTTTTTCTAGACTGCACTAATCTTTTTTTGTGAACCTTTAATATCATTTTTGTCCTCATTCCTTTGGCATGGACTAAGTGAAGTTAATTATACAGGTTTATACATCTGTGTGCAATTTTCAGGTTAAGACGTAAATGTCAGAAAAAGAATGGGGAGGGTGATATTATATTTAGTCAGTCTGCAAGGCAATCGGGGGGAACTGAAAGACAATACTGAGAAAGTTCCTCGGCCCAAAATATCTGCCCACACAGCTTCCAGTGGGACTGAAGGGCCAGGTGCTGGGACAGCCAAGGCACAGATGCTCAGTTTCTCACTACTGGTTTCTTGAAGTTCTTTCAAGACTTTGAGCAAATTAAATTAATATACACCTGATCACACTGTTAAATGTGTTTAAATACATTGTAAAGCTACACACTGATGTGATGGTAAATGCCCAAAGAGTAAATCTGTGCTAATCACACACAGCAGCAGCATAAGCCTAGCCTGCTGTTTAGAACCTTCACATCCAACCCTACCTTCCTCTGCTGCTTCTCCCAGGCAGGGTCCAGGAGCAGGTCCCTGTCCCAGTCTTCCTCCTGGGTCATGTACGTTTCTTCATGGGTGATAGTATAGGAGTTGGCATATGTCATTTGGGTCTCAACAGCTGTCATCGTTTCGCCTCTCTCAGGACTTCTCAAGTCCCCCTCAGCTTATAGTAAAAAGAAAAATCAACAATAGAGACGACGAAGTGAGGGCTAGAACCTCCTCAAGATGAGGGGGAGAGACAGCTAGGGGCGGCAGAGACCAGTCTCCACTGGCGAGAGGTGGCTGTGCGAACGTGGTGCTCCCACTAACAGAAGACCCTGCTGGCCGGTGCTCCTTTCCTGGTCAAAAGTGGCACACGTGACAGCACCCCATTAAGTATGAGAACCTTAAGCTTAAGTGTCATATTCTGAGCCTAAAAAGGCCTAAAGGGCGGGGTAGGCCTTTGAGGGCAGGGATAACAGGCTTGTGAGTGGTGTGGCAGTGTGTCTGTTTCACTTTCTCTCACCACGGAGGGTTTTATGGGCCGTGTAATGCACCTGTTGCTGTTAGTGATCCTCAACGGTAAACCCAGGTCTCTTTAGCTTAAGGCAACTTTCCCCCATGAATTACAATTTAATCTGGAAACTACGGGGAAACAAAAGACACTGACGAACAGTTCAAAAGCAGACCCTCCACTGGGGATAAGGAGGCAAAAAAGGCTGGAGCTTCAACTCTAACTAATTACATCAGCTAAGCATTTCACATTGCTAAAATGACGCTATTAATTTAACCATTTAGTCAGTACTTTTGCAGCATTAACTATCCCATTTTCACCTTATTGCAGATATTCAGTTGAAAAAAGAGATGAAGACACAATTAAAAGAAAAGAAATTTATTGATGATTTTCATGCAGGCTGATAAATGCCTCAACATTTTCAGAAATATAGGTCAAAAGGCATACATATGCATACACAACCACACAATATAATTTGTGTCTATTTATCATTCACAGTAAACATGTTGACGCTAAACTTGACCTAACATTCGGTCATTTAAATCTCATAGTTACTTTGAAATGAGCCGATCCAGATTGCTAGTCTGTTAAAACAGCAAATTACTCAGCAAATCCTCGCATCTTTGAATCTAGAATGACTTGTATTTAATCTGGAATTTTAATTAACTACATTTTTCTTGGACCATCAACTTATTTCACGATGTGAAAGAAACCCTGAAAGGACCAATCCACCCACCATTAATATAATTCTACAGTGAGTTTTTATATTGAAGGAAATCATGTAATAACTTATGTGTTTCACAGTATAAACTGCATACTGTGAGAAGGATGAAAATATAAATCAATGCAGTGATAGGGCAGTATGAAAAACCTTTTATTCCAGGTTTTTATGGTTAACTATATTTCCCCCATACAAGATGTCCTTTAAAAGGTGGATGAATAACAATTTAATGAAATAATAATCAAAATTTCATGAATACTGACAACTTGGAAAATGTTCATCAAATGATTTTCAGTTTAACAAAATCATTTAATGCTTCCTCTGTTTTGATGAGACTTACTGATTGTTCAAGTTGTTGTATTTTCTTGGACTTCGTGTGAATCGTGTGCAGGCGAGACTTGCTGAAACGTTCTTTAAAATCATTAAGGACATTTGGCAATGATTCTACAAGAAACCTTGTTCTAAACGGTAGATAAGTTGGATGGTAGAAGCCTCCAGTGAACTTCACCTCACCTCAGCACATCGTCGTGTTTCCTCAAACAGTGGGAGACACCCAACTTTCAGCATTTCATCGTAAATTCCATCTCTAACGTCCAATTCTGAAATCCTGTCGATCCCGTCGCACAAAAATCTTAAGACCCTAATTATGGTGCTGAACTACACTGCTCATCGCTTTCGCCTACTCTAGATGCGATTACGTGTAATGTAAGGCTTTACTGTTGATGTCTACTTTGGAAAAAAATGATGGGCATCACTAGCATCTGATTCACATTTGAGCTAGAAAGGTCACATTAATAAAACCTCATAAATTACTGCCTTCAAATTCTCTACGACTTGTGCTTGAACTTGTCAGATGCACATACTTACATCTTAGTGGGCTTTGCTACAGAAAAACAGACATGACCTTTGAGATCCTATCTAATCAATAAACATACATGTGCATCATCTGCATACAGGAATTTTTAATTAAAACAATGACAGACGGAAAAGGAGTTTGGATGGAGGGGTGACATAGGTAGGAAGCTGTGGTGAACTTTGGCTAGCAATATGGTGCGACTGTGGTTTCAAGAGCAGGGGTTTTAGAGATGCATGGCTGTATTCACCCAAGCATGGGAAGCCCAGACTTACAAGCATCAGAAAGAAGCCTTCAGTGAGGAGTTAGGAGAGTGAAGAGGACAAGGTGTTGGGGGGAAAGGCTGGAAAGCAATGTACCCTGATCATGGAGGCTGGGGAAAAGAGTCAGTAAGCATTTCCTCCTACTGAGAGGTAACCTGAAACAAAGCTAGACTATGAAGAATTTCCTAACACTACGTGAATGGGCGGTGTTAAAACACAAGATATTGATGTTACACATGGTGCAAGACTTCTAATGGAATCAACAGGGTATGTAAATGATGTAATTCTTGCACATAGGTAATGAAAAAATACTTATGTCCAATATGTCAATACCTCAGGATCAAATACACTTTATTGGGACACACTATGGTCCTCCACGATCAGGTAGGCAAGGTTAAGGAGTAGCTTTTGGTGGCACAAATTATTCCGCCAACTCACCTCAGAATCAACCCTTTGGTTCTTTCTGGTCCACTTCATTTTTCCATGTTGTTTGTTAGGCAGAAATAGTGCAGGGTTGTCTTTGTTTTACTCCAATCATACAGCTGTCAGAGCAGACACCAGACAACTCAGGAATTACTAAAAGCTGGTGAATCAGGGACCATGTATAAAGATTTACGATTTTGCAACACTATATGGGGAAAAACTCTAACTCATACAAGTTACAGAAAGGAGCTGTACCAGAAAAGTCCTATAGGAATCCTGAGATTGATGAGAATCTACAGGTTAGACTGGCTTCATCACTGAAGACCTTTCTTATAGGACCGTTCTGAATGGCCTGGGAGGATTCTAGTGGGTCAACCCCTTAGTTTAGTAGTTCACATGTAATTGAGCTAATTCTTCCAAGAAACTGAAGTTAAAACCCATTCCAAAGCCATGGAGTACAAACCCATGATTCAACAGTTTCAGCAAAATATTTTGTCCAACACTGAAGTCTCTCTGTCACCTTACAGAGTCCAGAGGTAGGCAACCGCGCATAACACAGTCCATTGGCAAGCCCAGACCTCTATGGTAGCAAAATTGGATGGGGAGTTTGGGTCAGGTGGGTGGTTCTGGGAAGTTCAGTCCGAGCCAGAGCCACAAACCGAGATCCAAGGTGGCGGCGGTGGCGGCGGAAAAAGCGTTGTGTGGGTGGACGGCGGAGAAGAGATGCGCATAAGGACAGCAGGGTGGGGGTAAAAGAGGGGGGGAGGAAGGACAAGAAGAGTGAAAGGGTTGAGGTCGGCGAAGACGGCGGTGGACAAGAGTTTGAGGGGCGAGGGGAAAGGGTGGGGAGTGTCCGCATTTGCCAAGCCTCACTGATGAAACAGCACCCAAAACGCATCTTTTTTTTTCTAAAGCACACACACGAGCATACCATCACACCCTCTATCCACCAGCTCAAACAAAACACCAGGACACAGAGGGCACCATCCATTGATTTGTATGCTGATGCAAGACAGGATCAGCTTTATATAGGGCTCGGAACCCCGCCCTACCTCGGCCCATCCCTCACTCCCACTGACGAGAAGCCCAAGGCTACAGGTACAAACACTGCCATTGCAGTAGAGGAGGGGTTACGGACTTGGAGAGGGGTGGTGATGGCAAGGGGAGGAGGAGTGTTATCAAGGCACAGTCAAAGGAAGAGGATGGATAAGGGGAGGAGAGGTCAGTGCTTTTATGATCTTTTTGTTTGTTTTTGGTCGTTTTTCATTTACCTTGGTGAAGAGAGAACAACAAGTTCTTGTTGTGGTGGTGTCACGCTTAAAGTTGTCCCCATGGCTTCATGTTGGCCGTTCCAGGTAGCAAGGTCACCTAATTCAGTTGAGATAGTTAGTCAGAGCTGGACTATTGAGTTCTTTCTCTCTCTCTTTTTTGCTTTGCGAAGTTAAAGATTATCACACATGCAGGTCTGAGAGTAAAGTGAACATAGAGACACACGGAAAGGGAGAAAATTCGGTGAAACGGGGAGAGACCAAGACCAGACCAGACCAGACGCACAACGATCAACCCCAGAAAGAGGACCGCTCCACAGATCAAAATGCACCCAGGCCATTCCATCTGTGTGCCTCTCCCCAGCTCTCAACGCAATTTCAGCAAAATTAATGTAATTTATGGATATGAATCAATTTTAACTACCACATCAGGAGCACTTAGCAGTACTTGAATATGAACCAAAAAAGCACTGCAGGGAAGTAAGACGTTTTTAAGACGTTTTTTTGTTTGAGAGGCTGGAGAGAGGAAGGAGCTCCTACCCGCACTTACCCTGACCAAAGAGAGCAAAGCTGGGCCAGCATCTACACCTGTCTCCCCCTGGGTCCCCAGTCAAATGGTTCTGGTGGTCATTTTACACAAAAGAAACAGATAGTGGAGAAGAACATAAACAAAAAGAAGGCGAAATGTCCAAACCCTTTTGCTTTCTTTTACCACAGTAGTCAGCCAAATATTCTTTATTATAAGGTTTATAGTATTACATGTTCTCAATAAAAAGCATGCTGTTTTTCGAATAACTTGCCTTTTTTTTCTCTTTTCTAATAAAAAAAGACTACATTAAAATACTTTTCTAAAAAATACATGGCAAACAAGACATTTCGCAAACCACATAATTCTACAAAGGATGCAACTGGTATGAGTTCATATATTCACGACACAGAGAGATTACGCTGTGAGATGCAAAAGTCGCTTTACCACTATAAACCACAGGAGGGAGGGGGAGGGGGGACAATGAGGCAGTCGGGTAATTTTCAGTGGGTCTACTTGTATGTGCATTAGACCGCTGTCAAATAATTCCAAAAAAAAAAAAGATTATTTTAGGCCACTGAGGAACCAGATAGATTGAATTAGCCAATTAAGAATCTTACATTAATGTCAAACGTGCCACCTCACACAAGTTTTGATATTTTTTTAACTGTCTGGTAACCAGATGTGACGAATCCCACTTGTTAGGGCTGTGCGATTAGACAAAACTGGAAGCAGAAGGATCCAGCCAAAAAAAAAAAAAAAAAAAAAAACCTAAAGAGCTCATTCCCAAACGTGGGGCAATGTCACGGAATTAGTTAATATGCGGATGTAATAAAATACATCACGTGTTTGACAATCTACATATTATTCACTTGTTTTTATTGAATGACTTTCTCTTCTGTGCTGTGTGATGGAAAGGGACTGGTGGGGAGGATGCATGTTATGGAGAGCTGAGGAGAAGAGATCCACTGCAGGAAAAATAAGACAATTACCTCTTTAGCCCAAGGTTTATAATAATACCATGTCAAATACAAGGGAGAAAAACTTTTCGGTAAGTTTTGTCAGTGCGACTGACAAAAAAGCATGAAAGTTTGGATTTATACCGGGGGTGGGGGGTATAATACATCACTCGATCATGACTATAGTGTATGCTGAATGAGACTCTGGTATTAAAAATAAAGCAACACTCTTAATAAAAAAACAAAATTATTACATGAATATGAAGTGTACAATTTTGATCATTTCATTTCCAGATTGGAGAATAATTGTACTTTATATAACACATTTCCTGAATTTATGGTAATTATTGTTATTAAGACAGGAGATTTTGGTCTATTCGCACAGCCCTACCACCTACGAAATGCTGCAACGTAAAAAAAAAGAAGACAGTCCTTTTGCTCCTTAAATCTAGGGAAGATCTGGTTTTGAAAAGGGTAAATAAACATTTTTAAGGGGGCACTGGAAGACACTGTCCCACCTCTCACTTCTTGGTGCTATCACTGTCATTTCTGCTTAAAGCCAAAGGCTAAACCCGTGCAGCTCAAGTTTGTGGCTTTTATAAAACCATTTGATATAATACAGGTGTGCAAGTCTAAGAGAAAGCTTCATCACTTTTAGCTCTCTGGATCAAAAGCATCGGGACTCCTGTTACTCTACTTACACATGGTTTAAAAAGTAAAAGCACTTAAAAATGGGAGATTGCTCCACGTAATGCACTTCACTCAAGGCTTATAGGCACATAACCGACCTTGTCACTTTTAATGATTTGTAAAAAGGACACAATTTACAGATCCTTTGTAAACAAGTCATACACAAAATCCCAGGTAAACTACACTGACAAACTAAATTTACACTACTTCAATAAAAAAAAGGCCTCTGAACACGAATGAGGACTTAATACAAAATATTATTAAAAAACTGGGTGAAATGTGTGGAATAAAACAGAACAGAACACAATCTACACTGGAATTTACAGTAAGAGGTAGGCAGCTGTAGTTAGAAAAAGAAAGAGGTGAAGCAGTGTCTTTCAGCGTGGGAGTCGGGATGGGACTCAGAGAAAGGGTCGAAGAGGGATCTGAGCAAACTTTACAGTACGTATATGTGTGCTTTAGGTCTACTATGCGAGGTGCAGCCTTAGCCGCAGCGGTTGTGCGTTGCGAAGTCAGGAGCCCGCGCATCACGCATTCACACATACTACATCCATGTCGCATCAAAGACAGACGTCCCGCATAACACATTAACCTTGGTTCTGTAGAACACGGTACAATGCAGCCAGTACACAATACGTGTTCATCTGACTTCCCATCTGAATGCATTTAAAATCTAAACTCATCAACATAAGGCAAAAAAGGTTTCAAATTAGCTGCCCAAAGCGATCATCTAGGCCTTTGGAGAATGGCTGATGCTAATTTTTGGAGATTTGGCCCTAGAAAATCATAACTGGGTTGCAGAAATAAAGGCATATGAAATGACTGACTGGATCAGCCTAATACTGGCACAAGTGTGAGACTGGCACAATAAAAACGATCAAAAGGAGAAGCACAAAGAATGCCCGTACAACAGATGAGAGAGCCTTCGCTTCAGGCTGCACTGTGTGTGCAAACCGGACCAAGGTTAGCTGATCAAGTCCCTCGTAAAGCACGCTTAAAAACCAAAGGACCCCCAGTTTCAAATGCCCGGCCAATACACTCCAGTGTCCCCAGGCACACACACACACACACGCACGCACGCACACACACACAAACGGTGGTCAAGTGTGATTGGAAAAGGTATGGGGAGGGTTGGTTTTCGAGGGCAGAGAGGGAAGAAGGTGGGGGAAGACAGTTGAGTGCAACTATCGGAAGGGGGGCTCAGGCGTGTGAAGGGAGAGTTCGGGTCGGTGGAGGATGGCCTCCTTGCGCGTGGGCGGCGGCAACGGCGGCTCATACACCCTGGGCGCAGCGATGGCAGCTGCCACTGCAGCAGCAGTGGGGACCACTGGCCTGAGCGCATCCAACGTAGCAACCTGTTGGGCAGACATTGCTGGAACCGCTGAGACTCCTGGCATGCCAGCAATGGCTGTCATAGCACTCTGAGGGTAGGCATACTGAAATTGAGGGTACTGCTGTAGCTGTTGGTAGTACTCTGCGTAGTACCTGAAACAATTGAGCAGATGTGGGGACAAAGTACAAAATTACAAAAACAAAAAAACAACAATGAAAGATTTTGAGAGATAAACCAAACAATCTGGTAACGTTTCAATGGCACTGCACGGTCCATATCCGTCGACAGTCATGTCCTACCTCGCCATAGGGTCCTCTGCAGCTTCTACTGCCTCTTCAGATGCACGGCCAGCTGGTGTGGGGAGCAGGGGTCTACGTGGCTTGGCCCTCTGGTAAATAAACGGTTTCATCACAGGGTCTGGTAACAGAGGAGCCGACCTCCGTAAGGGACTCCGGTCCCTCTCACCAGATTTTGCTGCTGCTGCTGCAGCCACCGACTGCTGCTCAGCCACAACCTGCTGACCCTGCGCAAAGTAATGAGCCTGCCTGGCAGCCTCAAAGATGGCTGTAGCTGGGTCTGCAGCTCCCATGGCGCTAATGTGAGCATAGGCTGGTGTGGCGGCGCCATAAATTGCTGGAGCTACAGAGTAGGCGGGGTTGACTGCAGCCGCTGCCTGCATTTCTATCCCAGGAGTGGCTGTCAGGTAGACGGGAGCATTGGCGACAGCTTGTGTGTAAACTGGAGTTGAGTAAGCAGCCGCAGCTGCAGCCGCAGCTGCTGCTGCTGCTGGAGACGCAGCCACCTGGCCGTAGATATTGGATGTCAGTGAGCCGTATACCTGTGTGGCGCCTGATGTAAGAGCTGCCTGACTGGCTACAGTCCCATAGAGCTGGTTGGCAACATTGGCACCATACACCTGGCTCGCTAGAGCACCATAAACAGCTGGATTCACTGGGTTTCCATCAGTACGGGTGCCAGTGGTTATCCCTGTGAGAGCTGCATACGTGGGGTCAAAGGTGGAGGTGTTGTAGACTGAATTGTGCACACTTTGTTGGACCTGTAGAGGTAGGCCTGCAGCAGCGGCAGCGGCAGCAGCCAGGACAGCTGCCTGACTCTGGTACTGCTCCAGAGAAGGTTTCCCCACAGGGCATTCTCCAGCATAGTGGCCCTGCTTCCCACAGTTCACACATGGAATCTTCCCCGTGGGAGCCTGCTTGCTGGGCTGGACCTTTGATAGCTCTACAGACAGAGGACGGCCCTTGAAGGAGGTACCGTGCAGAGCTTCAATGGCCTGAAGAGCATCTTCTTTATTTTCCATGTGAACAAAAGCATAGCCTGTTGAGAAAAGAAATGGGCAGCGGTACTTGGTTAATTCTTTTAAGAACTTGCTTGTTTTACTTTCGGTATTTATTTATTTTTAATTACTGTTGTGTTACACATTTATGTTGTTTTATTTGTATCATCACATTTTATTGGATATTTTACATCATACATTTTACATATTTTCCATATTAGCTCTTGTTATTTTACATGTATTTTAATCCTTCCAGTATTTCCTCTGTGGAGCCCTCTGCCTCGGGACCGGTGGTCGGTGGCGGCGGCTGGGGCGCTCCTTGGGTAATGCCCAGGTAGTGGTGGGGGTTGCTACCCTCCCTCCCAGGGCGCCCTGGATTGGTGTCTTGGCTGCTGCCATGGATCTGCTGCTGTGGAGGCAGATGGCTCCCTTGATGGAGTGTCTTTCATTACCTGTCCAATCTGAGCTCAGCCGTGTTTACCGTGGTCTTTTAATGTGTTATATGAACGAGTGAGTGTGTGTGTGTGTGTGTGTGCGCGCGTGCCTGGGAATGGTTTGTGGATTGGGGTGAAACTGTCACAATTGTTTTAAGTGTGGGAAAGGGAGGGAATGTGGGTTATATGGGTCATTTTAATCTGTTAAGCACTTTATGTTGCATCCTATGCATGAACAGTGCTATATAAATAAAGTTTGATTTGATTATTTGATTTGATAAACCCTTGGATTTAGGACGTGGAGATTTGTTTGGACCTGACTGACAAGCTAACGGCTAATCCAACTGGGAAAAAGAGTAAAGTGGATTTCTGCCATCGTATAACAACTTCAATTGATCAGAACTGAGAAGAATGCTTTTTTTTTGTAAACCCCAAATAAAATTTTCCTTACTATAGAATTCTATGGTTGTTTGGGGCAGAAGCTTTAATACATCTGGTTGGGATTTCAAAATCCCCTAATACAAAGCGACAAGAGTTGATATGAATATAATGTAACATTAATGTAAACTACAACTTTGAGTTGTTTAAAGATGATAAAATCCATTGTCCGTCTGGTCATATGTAATCTCTATAACAGCTAAGGTATTAATCATTCATAACATTTCCTTAGAAACCATGCTGAAATATCTGAGCTATACCTATTTATGAACACCCCTAAAACAAGCCAACCTTATACCTTTGAATAATTCAAATTCAATTCAAAAATACTTTATTAATCCCAGAGGGAAATTGATTAAATGTTTACCTTTGACTTTGTCACACTCGAGAACCTTCCCAAATGTCTGGAACAGCTGCTTGAGGTCTTCGGTGGTACACATCCCGCTCAGATTACCCACAAACACCTTTGTGGAGTGCAACGGCCTGCCCCTGGACTCCTCCACCACCAAATTACGGCCGCGAAATTCTCGTCCATTGAGCTCCCGGATGGCTCGCTCCGCTGCACCCTCACCCTGCAGGTGCACAAAGGCAAACTGTCGAAGCACACTGCAGCTGACGACCTGGCCGTAGGGTTCAAAGATGGCAGACAGCTCCTCCTGGGTGGTGTCTAATGCCAGGTTGCCCACAAAGAGCTTGACTGTGTTGCTCTTATCCATGGCGCTGAATCAAAACAAAGATAAAAGATAATTGAAGGAATGAAGTTTTAATGAACTTGTCAGCAGTGTATCAGCTAGTCATACGTCAATGTTTCACATCAGCAAACAAACTTCTATATCAAAGACAATCAGAGTAAAACCCAATGCTGTTATCAAATTATGATTTTAATTGCCTTGTTTCACTATTACAAAAAAAAAATACAGTGTAAAAAAAAAAGAGATTATACTAGTTATAATAGTCAAGCATGGTTGTGGTAGTGTGATGGTTTGGGCTGCTTCAGGACCTGAGTGACTTCCTGTAATGGAACCATAAATTCGGCTATACCATGAAATCCTGAAAAAGAATGACTGGCCTTAAACAAGCCGTTCATTGTGGAAAACCCTCCGGTCTTCCTTTTATGACCGGTATCTCCGAGTTGGACATGCATGCTAAACATGAAAATTTTCTTCAATTCTCATTAGCAGGTGTGAAAACTTAAACCGCCCGAGCACCATTGGCGGTAAATTTTCTCGTTGGGCGGTAAATAATTGACGACTTACTGCCCAGGTGGCACCCAAGCTTTGTTTGTCATTTACACTGGCGTTCACCTCTCATGTGTCCACGTGTTTGGGATACATTGTGGCCGCGCCCTAGGGGTGCAACCAACGGATCATCATTGATCCACGATCTATTCAGATCTCTCTCTATGGTTCGGCACACATGCGGTTCACGGCTGATTTCTGCCTTTCTGCTCAAGGCACATGAGCAGTAGTGGCCATCCAGATCAGCCTTCAAATCAGAATCACCGGAGAAAGAAGACATCATGGTGAGTCGGCAACGTAGCTCAAAAGTTTGACTAAACGTCAACAAAATTGGTGATTAGTCGACTATTAAAATAGAACTTTGTGGCAGCCCTAAAAGTATGCAATAACTTAAAAGTGACAGTCTTGTTTTTGACCCACAATATTAATGCATGAGACTCAAAATCCTATCGTGTCTCGCTCCCCCTTCCAACAAAGTTCTACCCCCTGGTCATTACAGTAGTTAGTTTTTTAGTTAGTGGTCAGATGAGGTTGGTTTCAGATGGATGTTTTGTAGTAATAAACAAGCACATCATTTCAAAACTAAATTTTCTTTACTCTAGTTATCTTGTTGTTTGCTGATCTCAAATAGAACAGGGGTTAACGCCTCCCTTCCCAGAGGGCTGGTATCCAGCATGTGTTAGTTGTTTCCCAGTTTCAACACACCTGATTTTAATCATCAGGTGATTAACAGGCTTCTTCAGAGCTTGGTGAGCTGCTGAACTGGTGAATCAAGTGTGTTGGAGCAGGGAAACAGCTAAAACACGATGGATTAGCGGCCCTTAGGGGAACAGAGTTGTCTACCCCAACATTAGAGTATCTGCAAAGGTCAAATACGTTTTCACAATGCTGTAAGTCAAAGTTTTACAGTGTATATGCTAAATCAAAGAACTCTGGTTAGATATTTTACCATTTAGAATCAAACTGGTAAAAATCCAGCAACACAAACCTGTCCCAGTGAAACAATCACACATGAACTCAAGCAGGAAAAGTTGTATTCAAATTTCACAACACCGCACAGGTCACAGATTTGCCTTTGAGCGTCCCACTGATGAATTTGATAAGACAGAAATGATTTGAGCGTCTTTTGAACACGCAGCGAAGGCGTTTTGACTGGGATCTCTCAAGATGTTATTCACCAAGACTTGAGAGCAGGCTTGTGATCACCCCCACAGCCATGAGTCACCCTCATCCTCAGCACAGGAAAACATGCATTTCTGCTGAATAACTTCAGGGAAGGCTTGTGTTTATCAAATCCCACTGGGCTCGGAGTAAAAACGGTCACTTTCATCATACAGAATAGTGTTTAAATGTAAATATCCCCCATCTCTCTATGCAGTCTGTAAGCCTAACGTACACTGGAGAGATGTCCTGCCCCTTTTCCTCCTCCCATGCAACTTTTTTATGGCTTGGCTGTAAATCAAAGGGCATGAAACCGGAGAAGGACGTTTCTATGTTCTGGTCTAGGCTCCAGTGAGCTTCTCCCTTGAACAAATAAAAAAACAAACGAGTGTTTATTGTATGAGAATGGCTGCTGCATGCACACTGGGCTCATTAGAGGCAGTACTGGAGGGGGAATATGGCTTTCTGTTGACGCAGCACTACGCTGAGTAAACACATTTCCACTGTTGCCGTCATCAATTCAACTAAACTGACCTAAAGACGCATTTAGGAGTCTCTCGGGGGTGTTAAATGGCCAGAAAACATGTGAAGACTTTCGCTGTCGTGTGAAGATTCACGGATGATGCTGGTTTTAAACGAGCACCAATAGAAAGTGAAATACATGACACATTTCCCCACGTTTAGCCTACACTGCTAACAAAGAAGCGCGGTTAAAAGAGCAGGGTGAGGGTCGCACGGTGGACAACAGTCACGTTTTTCCGCGCAGAGACGAATGCAGCAGTTGCAACACGGACCGCTTCCATCGCGACTACGCGGTTCGTCGCTGAGAAAAACGACACGTCAGGAAATATGTCGAGTTTAAAAACGATCCGGGGTCAATTACCTCCCAGAGAGCCCGAATGGTGATACTATAGCTAAAAAGAGGCGATTAATTGAAAGGATCTACCATCTTACCTAAGCGGTGCCGTGTTTCAAAATGGTAGCGCCTGCTTCCGTTTGAACGTCGGGCATTCTGCTGGGGAGGCTGCGGAGGGGGAGGGCAGCTGCTGCTGGACCCGGAGGATGCTGAATCCTCACGAAATAACTCCCCTAAAGACACGATACACTCCCACAGGGCCCCCCAAACCCCGCTGCGTCCATTACTGCCTCAGAAATGATACAGGCAGCGGAGTTTGTGCTCAAAACCACGAGCTACAAGTGATAAAGGAGCAGGACGTGTTGACAATGAAGTTCACCAGGCTCATTCATTTTGGGCCATAAGTTCAAGCATACTGTAAGCATTTATAGGTAGTCAGTTTGTGTGGTTTTTTTTGTGTTTATTTTTGCTAAATTGTCATAATTATTTACACGAAGGCCCTCAGTCAGGAGAAATAAAGATCAGTTTTGACCAGATTGACGAGCTAATGGCTAGTCTTACCCCTACTTCACCGTGGAAGCATCAGCGGAGCGGAACTGTTTACTTGTGACTTTCGTTGGGTGCCAGTACACACTGGGAAAGATCACAAAATCCCTCCAGACTTCACAGTTTGTTTATGCCATTCACTGTTAGCTCATTCGCTGCCAGCCGTTTCCTGATCGGTAAAGTCCTTCGCTGCCAGCGTTTCTCAACGTTTTTACTGTTTTTTTAAGAGTCACAGAACGTTGCGCGCCAGGATGATGTTGACGCCAAAATAACCAAGTGGATACTCACCTCTTACATCAGGAAGAATCCGCGCGTTTCAAGCGTTATCCGTTCTTTCATTGTTAGATTGTGATCGGCAGAAGCTTTTCCGTTCGCTCCTCACTTTTTTCACAGTAGCGGCCCAAAACAATCTCCTAACACATGGATTTTTGATCCTGATCACGTGACGTGTGACGTATGCGGATGATCGGCTTTAGAGCTGAGATGTTTGTTCTCACGGTATGGGGGCTTGCTCCAATGCCCACAGTAAAAAAAAAAATGCAAATGACGACTTAAGTCGTCATTGGCAGTGAACAGTTGGATTTAAAATGATGACTTTTGTCATCAATGGCAGTGAATGAGTTAAACAGAAAAAGGAGGAAATTGATATTGCTGTTTGATGTCATATATGATGTTCTTCACTGCCAGGATTAAAGCAATGAAAAACACACCGCTGCACTCCTGGAATGATACTGGGAGTAAATACAATGTTAGGTCACTTGTATTGAGGTAATCTACATTTGGGTTGACGGGATTAACCGGTTTGACTTTTAACCACCAACCAACACCACCCATCTATCCATTTTCATCCGCTTACCCGGGGTCGGGTCACGGGGCAGTAGCCTAAGGCTTGGTTTATGCTTGACGCATTTACTTTCTGCTTGGTGATGCGGCTCGCGGATGGAACGCGCTTCACAACTTGCAGCGTTTATGGTTCATGCGGCTCGTCTCTGCGGTGAGCCAATATTCTCCCAAACTGAACGGGGCAGCATGGAGCTCTACGGCATGCATCCAACACTACACTATAGTAGAAGTAAAAATTACTGTTGTTTACAACATGGCATTCTAGCATTTTTAACCGCGTCCTCGTCTTTTCCGACAGTGCGAGCTATTTCTCTCCAAGAATTATTGACATGTTGATCACGGTGATCTTTGAGAACTGAATCATACAAATGTTTGTAATTACGAACCTCTGCCATACTAGTTCTTGCCGGTCCGCCATGTTTTTCCGTGTCCGACCATCCGCGTGGTTAGAAAAATTTCCTAGGTGCGTGGTGCAGAAATTTTGGGCCATGCGGAGGCGCGGTGGAGGGGCGTGTTTGTTAAAATGATGCAATTTTGCCGCACGGAGCCGTGCGAACCTCGCGGACGCGTCAAGCATAAACCAACCTTAAGGCGAGAAGCCCAGACTTCCCTCTCCCCAGCCACTTGGGCCAGCTCCTCCGGGGGAATCCCAAGGCATTCCCTGGCCAGGTGAGAGACAGTCCCTCCACTGTGTCCTGGGTCTACCTTTAGGTCTCCTCCTGGTTGGACGTGCCCGGAAAACCTCACCAGGGAGGCGCCCAAGAGGCATCCTGACCAGATGCCCGAGCCACCTCAACTGGCTCCTCTTGATGTGGAGGAGCAGCAGGTCTACTCCGAGCCCCTCCAGGATGACCGAGCTTCTCACCCTATCTCTAAGGGAGAGTCCAGCCACTCTTCTGAGAAAACTCATTTCGGCCGCTTGTATCCGCGATCTCGTTCTTTCGGCCACTACCCAAAGCTCATGACCATAGGTGAGGGTAGGAACGTAGATCGACCAGTAAATTCTGACTCAGCTCTCTCTTCACCACGACAGACCGGTACAACGCCCGCATCACTGCAGATGCAGCACCAATCTGCCTATCGATCTCACGCTCCAGTTTTCCCTCACTCATGAACAAGACCCCGAGATACTTAAACTCCTCCACTTGGGGCAGGACCTCATCCCTGACCCGGAGAAGGCATTCTACCCTTTTCCGAACCAACACCACAAACAATAAAAAGTAGTTAGCGGACCAAAATGAAATGTATGCAGCAGAACCAGTGTCAACAACCACTGTGACCACTCAGTTTCCATTTAAGAAGCGCTTCAAGTCTCCTGTGAGTGAATATTTTACACTCCCAAAGCTGCTAAATGAGAAATTCAGGATGATGGCGCATCCATCTCCAGAAATGGCAAAAAAAAGTTGACACCCCAACATGTTATCATCTCTGACATCATCATGCAGTTAAAAAAGCTGACTCAGATTATATACAACTGTCAGGCATTTTCACCGTCTATTTTCTATCAGAAGCTAATGCAGGAGATAGGTGTAGGAGACTATTTTCATGTTCAGTCTGCAAGCAAAGCCCAGAGTGCCCGATTATAATCAGACATAACTAAAAAAGTTTTTATTCAGTGCTTCATACCTTTACAGTTTCACTTAATGTTTTGTACGGAAATTCAGCAATAACTTTGGACAAGCTCCTTCAATCAATAACAAATAATTTATTCCCAAAAAATAAGTGCACACACAACACATCACACATTCATAACTGAGAGGGCATCATTACTTTCGATAAAAATGTTCACAATCAATAGTTAACTTCAAGCCATCAAGTTACATTCAGTCTGAAGGGAAACGGTTTTAAAGCTTCACAAGATCAAAATATGGGAATGTGTAAAAAACAAAACACCCTGTCGAGTCCGCCGCAGCAGCCATTCTAAATCTCACAATTTCACCAAAAAACTACAAATAAATCTCTCATTCATGCTGTCGTCCTTAGGTCCGGGATGAAATCTGACTCTTCTGCTCATCGTACTTTTGATGCGAGCCACATTTACAAAGTTGGTTTTGTTCAGGATTTCTCCAATAAAAGGAATTCACATACTGTGGTAGATGCAAATGCAAGGCTCTGAAGGTTTAAATCCAAACATTTTAGACTGATTTGGTTCCTCTCAAACTGTGTTCTTAATGACTAAAATCTCTCAGATTACTGCTAAACTGTAAACTCAGTGTAGCTCTGTTAGCTCTTATGATGAGTAACTATTAAACATGTGACCTGGAATAAACTTTAGCTGTGGACTGATTTTATACAACAGCTTTACTATTTAAACGACCAATTATCAATGGTAAATCAAAAAGTGCCCTTTAGTGCTTTTTCTTGAAGGCACTTAATGCAAGGTCGTTAAATATTTAATCACAAAGATGACATTAAAGTCCAGTTGTCTGGGACATCAGCGTTTCTCCTTTAGCTCGGACCCGTCCAACCACACGGGACGACCCGATGCGTCTGAGACTCAGAGGTGTGCTGCCGGCGTCTCGCGGTCGACCTTGCTCCGGCCTGTCCCCGCTATCGGCCGGTCCCTCTCCTCCCACAGCGTGACGCCATCACAGGCGCAGATCTTTTTGGAGTTTTGGAAAAGGCCAGCTGACCTGGCGATGATCCCACAGGCCAACCTGCAGGGGGCGACAGAGATAAATGACCAAGTAGTAACCAGTCTAATTATGGGAGGCAGCTTTTGTGGACTCATAAATCAGCTTTTATCACACAGCTACTCATTATTAATCCTATCCAAGTTCACTCTTGACATTATTAAAGAGCACCTTATCATCCACAAACACACGAGTGGATACTGGATATTTTATTGGATAAATAAAAACAATTTAAACTGCGGTGGCAGCCATCTTGAACCGGGTTAATCAGTTTTAGATGTAACTGCGATGAAGGGTTTAGCTAAAATCCATCCAATAAAAACACAAACAGGCAAAAATATTAACACCCACCAATAATTAATCCCCACATTAATTCAATTCAATTCAAGTTTATTTATATAGCGCCAAATCACGACAAGAGTCGTCTCAAGGCACTTCACATAATAAACATTCCAATTCACAGTTCATTAAGCCAATCAGAAATAATTTTCCTATATAAGGAACCCAGCAAATTGCATCAAGTCACTGACTAGTGTCAGTGACTATACAGCAATCCTCATACTAAGCAAGCATGCAGCGACAGTGGAGAGGAAAACTCCCTTTTAACAGGTAGAAACCTCCAGAGAATCCTGGCTCAGTATAAGCAGCCATCCACCACACTCACATTAAGACTGAATCGTTATCTCACACACGCACCTTTCGCCGGAGTTTCCCGTCTCTCTGGATGAAGGGTGGCCTCCCCGGCCCAGGTCGTCCTCCCCAGAGTCCACTACCAGAGATCGACCGATAACGTCCCAAACCTGCGGCATAAGGGTCCGTCGTTATTCTCCACACAGCACTGAAACGTGCCTCTACCTGTGTGATGGCGTTACCTTAAGCTGACGGTCCTCTAATCTAAAGGAAGCCCGTCCGTCTGGTCCTGCCACTATATTTCCCAGGTCTCCTACATGCTGGAAGAACAATCCAGCACACATAAACTACACGTGGGGGCAGGACGACTGACTGAGCCGAAGCTATGAATTTGAGAGATTTTATTTTATTTTATGTTGAACCATTAAAGCCAGACTGATCTACATCTTATCAAGGAATGATAATCCGTACCCTTTCATCGTCACCCGGACCTCCATGCTGTTTTCCAAATGGGTTGTAGTGTTCTCCACAACTGCAAACAAAACAATCTGATTAGATGTTTCACTGCTGAAGAAAGGGAACTGGTCCAAAAGATGCCAGCAGGCTGTCCTGAATGGAAACGGACACAAATGTTCAGATTTTTGATATTTGAATTATTTTTAACTCATATTTTAAGTTACAAATAAGAAAAAAATGCTGGTTTTGAGTGTAATCAAGAATGAACACACACCTGTTTTATGTTGGGGCTAAACAAGTAACTGTTGCATAAGCTTCGCTGTTCAGGATCCGCTTTATTCTCTTAATGGAGCATTTTGTTTTTGCGCTACCATACATGTACAACATTTAGGATTTTCTGGTGGCTGCTCCATTAATACGGTTATTAACCACTTTAACAAAAGTCTTATTCTGCTTGATGATTTTGAACGGTAGAGGGTTAGGGCAGCTGAAAAGAAAAATTATTCTGACTTTAATCTCAGAAGTCAAACGTTTGTCAGCCCAAAGAAATTAAATGATAAAAAAGCAACCCTTGTGCTTTTACGAACATGTTACTGTCATCCATCCATTTTCAGCCTCTTAACTGGAGTCAGGTCGCAGCAGACCAAGCAGCTAGTGACAAATATTAATAAGGTTTAAATGTAGTAGCTAAAACTATAAACGAACGGATTTGGCTATTTAATAACAGAACAGTACTGAATCTAGGGGTAGACCGATATTTGTCCTTAGTAAAGCTGATTTAAAGTCAGGCGCATCCTGGGGCAGCCACGTGCTGTTGAATTATTTAGTTTAATGTATTTTTTGCATTCACTAATAGGAAGCCTAAGTCACTTCCATATCACGGGTCCCCGGAGGAACAAAAAAATGAATGCAAGTCAACGGGTCTAAAAACACTTTTTTCTAATCCGCTTCTCCTCAAGTCCTGGATCACACATATGTTGTACTGCAATTTAAATGAAAAGTAATGACGGGTGTTTTGACCATGCCAGTCACGTACTTTGAGATTTATCAGCTTGGAAAAGTTCATAATTAGCATGACTACAAACTAGAAATTGGCACGTCACATATGTGACATCACCACACAATCTACTCTCCTCAGTGCAGCTGCTACTAACTAAATGACCAGATTTATGGTGGTTCTTTCCTCCTGTGGGAAGTTTGCTGAACTTACAGCCATTTTCCCTTAGTTTTCTCCGTGTCTGGTTTGATGACGTCACTTTTGTGAAGCACACTTGTAGTCCTGGACTTATTTTCACACAAAACCTAAAATTTCGTCCGTCCGTCCATCCCCTTCTTCTTCAACCCCTCTAGATCCAATAATGGCATAATCAATCTATTCCAATCTGAGCTGATCCGTCAACTCGCTCCTTGATGGAATCCACCTTTTGTGCCAGAGTCTGAATCTTAGCCAAAGTTCCAAGCTTACGACTCATCTCGACAATTATATGAGTTTGTGCATTCAAAGCACGATGTAATCCATCCCTGAGCTCCGGGATTGAGCCAATATTCCTCGAAAGCTCGTTAATTTTCCGGTAAGCCAGGTAACCGCTCAGGCCAAACAGCAGGAATTCCGACACCAAAATGATGAATATCCAGACATCTTCAGAATCCTCTACAGACAGTTGAGAGAGGCAGATCAAGTTCCACTGTTTCCAGGAGTCCATGATATACCGAGCTGGCTCTGTCCCAGAGGGGCATCCGGGAGCCCCTTCTCCCGTTCTAAATAACAGATTTAACATTTTCCCAGCATAAATCACAACTTCTTCCACAAAATGTTTAAATTAACACAACAAACACTTTCTTACAATCTGCCGGTTTCCATGGCAACACAAGCCTCAGGCAGTCTGAAGCAGAAATCTTCTCAAACATCTGGTGTTCTGTTTGCTAAAGGAGCGTTAAGCAGCTAAAACCTATAATAACTAATTACAGACAGCACCATTATCAGACTTTTCTTCATTAGTGTTACTTGAAAAGACCTGTTTTTGTGTCATCTTTGATCAGAGTCTAAATCACATGTAGGAATGAATCCCCACATCAGCAGTGTCGCTGAAACGGCGGTCTCACCTGAGGCAGTCCTGTGTGAGGTCTCCCAGGGTGTGGACGTG